GGCCAAGGCTCACAAGAGCTGGGGCTAGCACGGGCTTGTTGATCCAGTGAGTGAGGGTGTGGGCAGAGGCCGAAGATGGTTCTGGCAATGGGCATCCCATGGGGTTGTGGCTCCCGAGGCTCAGCCGGGGCCTGGGAGGAGGCCGGAGACTGGAGATGGAGAACGTAGGGTGGGCGGGGGGGGGGGGGGGCACTAGGCCCTGGGGTGGGTCATTTCTCCAGGCTTTATGGCTGGGCTTGTCATCCTCAGGGTCTGGGGCTTGGAGGCATCCCAGCAGCTTAGGCATCTGCCCCTGGCCCCGCTGGTACTCTCTCGGGGACTCAGTTTCCCCAGCCACCCAGGGGGGCCTGGCCCCTCTCAGCCCTGGCATTTGGGATCTCTGTGCAGGTGGCTGGGGCCCAGGCAGCAGCTGCAGGCTGCACCTAGGCAGCTGGAGTGGGGGGGGGGGGCTCTCCTCAGGCTGGGCTCCCAGCCCTGGGACCTGCGGGGGGGGTGGTGGTGGGAGATGTCTGGGTGGGGAGTGGTCCGTAGGGCCCAGACCCAGGTGTCTTCCTGTGCTCAACAGGGGCGCCCCTCCCCCAGCCCCCTCGGGCCTCAAGCTTGCCCCCGCCGCCCCAGCCCTCTCTGCCCAGGGCTTTCTCAGTGACCCCTGTCCCTCCGGCGAAGGAGGCCCCCAAGAGCCTGACGGGCAGAGCAGCCTTCTGGGGCTTGGTCTCCCCACAGAAAATGGGTGACACGGGGGACCGTGTGATAAAGTGCAGGGTACCTTGGTGCAGTCTCTCACTGAATGCTCACGCCAAATGGGGCAGAGGTGCTGTTACCCTGTAGAAGAGGGAAACAGAGGCACAGGGAGGGGAAGTGAATTCCCCAAAGCCACCAGCAGGCTTGTAGGTAGGATTTCTGGGAAAAGAAATCCCAGAAGGGGACACACAGGGGGCCAGATCCACAGGGCAGAGGAGAGGAATGGGGGAGTGGGGGGGGCCAGCCCAGGGCCCATCAGGGTCTCTTACCCCCTGGCAGGGACACAGCTGCCCCCCTCTCCCCCAGGCCACAGGCATCCTCATGTTCCTGTAAATAATTAATTAGCCCCTGCTTGCTTGTTTGTTTAGCATGAGGAATGCTCCCCCACTGAGATGCATTTATTGCTGAATAAATTTAAATATCTAATCTTCCCTTCATGAATATTACAGCACCCTAATAGCAGCCAACATCTCCTAAGCGCCTTGGCAAATGGCCCCCACAGGAGCCCGCCTGCCGTCGGCCTCTGTGGGCTTTGGGGGCTCTGGGAGGGCCTGGCTCCAGCCCCTGCCGCTCCTGGGGGCCTCCCGACCCCCACCAAACCTCCTAGGAAGGGGCGGGGTGTGAGCTGAGGGCCCCCCCCCCCCGCAGGCCCCTTGCAGGTATGGAGGCCACACCAGGGCCAGGGGGGACACAGGAGGGCTGCGGGGCTGCTGTGGCTGAGCCCGTTTAGGGGAAGAGCCTGGGAGCAGGGGCGAAGCTGGTGGGGGACAGACAGGGACCCCAGGCAGGAGCAGCATCTGATGAGCTCAGGCCGGGACAGAAGAGGTCCGGGAGGCAGGCGGACCGTCTCCAAGGCAGCCTTGCCGGACAGCAGTGGCTAGTGGTTGGCAGCACGGGGGCAGCTGAACAGTCACATGGGATGAGGGACCCCAGACCACAGGGCAACCAGAGTCCCCAAAGTCCCTCTGTTGGGAGGGCGATGTGTTGACATGGAGAGGGGGACCGGAGCCCTGCTGCAGGGAAGAGGGGTGTGCAGACAGCAGGGCGAGTTTGCGCAAGGAGGAAGGGGGAGCCAGCCAACCAGGATGGGAGGGAGGCTGGGGGGCCGGAGAGAAGGCCTTCTCTGGTCCTCGAGGAAGTAGAACAGTCCACCTGTGTGACCCCGGGCAAGTCTTTGATCTTCTCTGTGCGTCAGTGTCATCTACTATAAAGCAGGGGAAATAGTAGCACCTCCTAGGGTGGCTGGGAGGACCGACAAGGAGATGTGACCCGCTCAGCGCCTGGCAGGTGCTCCAGAAGAGTCTGTGCTGGCTGGGACTCAGGAGCCAGAGCCTGGAGCCTGAAGAGGGAGCAGGCCAGGGCTGAGGGAGGAGGCAGAGCGGTCCTTAGGGCAGGCTAGCGGGGAAGGGTGCGTTCTGGACCTGGCGGAGAGTCATCTGAGGAAGGCGCCACCCCTGACACATGGGTCAGGGTCCGTCTCCACGGGAGGGACCCCAGGTTTTCTGCTGACTTGGGATGGAACAGGGGTTGAGTGGGAGGCTTGAGGTTTGTTCGGATGTGGCTAAAGGTCCCGGGGAAGGGATCAAGGGTGAACTGGTGTGAATTGGGGTCACCACCCTCCCACCGGGCAGCCCCCAGGGTCAGGTGGAAAGGGGGGAGGAGGGACATCTCCCTTGGGTGAGACCCCGGGAAGCCGAAGCCGCCTCCTGCGGGCTCTAGGGTTCAGCTTCCCCCAGCAGGAGAGGCAGGACAGAGCCGAGGAAGCAGAGCCCGGGAAGCTGCAGGTCACAAGGGGAGACAGGCCAGGGGCGGCCCTTTGGGCGTGTGGCTAAGGACAGCAGGCTGTTGGTCCCCTCTGGCCCTCAGAGACGGTAGAGTGACCAGGCTGGTGTGGACAGGGAGGGCGCCAGGCAGGAGCGGGGAGTCTGTGCTCCGGCTTGTTGGAGAGAGGGTGGGGCAGGGGTGGGGCCCAGGGCCTGGCCCTCATCTCTGCCTGGGTGGGGGACACAGATCCCCTAGGCACTTGCAGGGCAGTCACCTGGCCTGGATGATGCGGGTGGGTGGGGGTGGTGGCCAAGGCTTCTGCAAGCTCCGATTCCCTCCTCCCCTTCATGCCCCCAGGTCAGTCCCAAGGGCCTGGCTGCCAGCCTGAACACCTCTGCAGGAAACATTAAGTCCCTGAAACACAGATCGCACTGAGCTGCACTTCCGCACAGCGTGCACAGCAGGCCAAGGTCGCCTGCGGGGTGCACGGCACCAGGAGATGGCAGGCAGCCAGGTGCCCAGTGGCTGACACCATTGGGGCAGGGCCGGGAGGCCCCGGGGAGCGCCGGCTCAGACCCGCTCCTGTGCATACCCCCCGTATGCCCCGGACGCTCCGGACACCCGCCTCCGCTCACACTCTCAGGTGTACACACGTGGAGCACATGCTTCTGCTATCACACTGTCCTAACAGCCAACACGCACATCACCTTCAGCCATGCCGGGCACTGGCTTAAGCACCTTACCCAAATGAATTCACTTAATCCTTCCAAAAGCCCTGTGAGATGGAGGTCTACTATTACCCCAGCTTACAGATGGGGCAGTTGAGGCCCAGAGAGATTAAGTGATATGCTCTAGGCTACACATCTGTGACTGGCAGAGCGGGGACTAGAACCCAGGCTGCCCAGCTCCCCAGCCCCCACTGTTGCGGGAGGCGCAGGGTGGTCACCTGGCACCTCACCCAGAACGGACCCACTGCTCGGGGACACTGTATAGTGCAGGCTGCACACCCACTGAGTGCCACCTGGACCCGTAGCTCAGGGGCCCTGCCTTGGGTCCCACTCTCCACCCCCTCCCATGGCCCCCCTCCCTGCACAGGAGAGGAGGGGGCGGGACCCAACCCCAGAGGCCCTCCCAGGGTCCCCCCAAGTCCTCTACCCCATCCATCCCACCCCCGGGATGCTCTGGGAAGTTGCCTGGTGCCAGCTCCAAGTGAAGTCACGAAATTAGGTTTAATTGGGCCCCACAGGGCACAAAAGAAAAGAGAAGAAAGAGGAGGGTGGTCCAGCTGGTGTCCCTGGACCTGTGCCAAGACACTGGGGGTGGGGCTGTGGTGAAGGAGGAAGGGCCTCTGTTTGCGCGTCTGCAGAATGGAGAAATGGGGGTTCTTTCCTGCCGCTGGTGCCCAAGGAGCTCCTGGCACGGGCCCCGGGCTGCCCAAGGAGCTAGGGAGCAGCCGGCGGTGGGTCACGTTCTCCTGGCCAAGGTGCCAACCCCTCCCCTGAGGAGGGGTCACTGTGGCTGTTTTCCAGATGAGGCAGTGGACGCCTAGGGGAACGGACTTGCCGGGGTGCCCCACGGGCACAGCGGATGAGAGCCGAGCCCCGCCTTTCCCGCCGGGGCCGCTCGGGCTGTGGCGCCTGGGTGAGATCGGGCTGGAGGAGCGTCTCGGGCGCGTTTCTCTGGCCCCGCGTCCCCAGGGTCGCTGCCGAGGCCCCGGAGCTGCCCTCAGATAAACAAGCCCAGGCCCGCCCGCAATTAAGCCGGATGCGCTAACGAGCAGGGGCGCGCGCCCGGATCCACCTGCGCGGCCCGGATCCGCGGCCCCGTCCACCTCCCCGCGTGGCGCACGGAAGGGGCTGGAAGACCCAGGCTCCAGGCCCAGACCGCACCTGCCACTTGTAATGGGGTGACCCCAGTTTCTTCATCTGTAAAGTGGGTCCTAGAGTTTGCGGCGGCCACGAGCGGCCTCGCCTTGGGATCGGATGCGCGGTGCCTGTCGGCGCCCCGGGGCTCCTCGGGCGGAGGCGGTCCCTGGTCGCGGCCCCCGCGGTGCTTCCGGACCAGACCCGGGAGGGCGACCTTCCCCTTGGCCGGGCTAGGGTGGCGGTTCCTGCCGCCGCGGACCCCGCCTAACGGAGCCACCCCGGCAGCTGGAGGCCCTCGCCCGGCGCGCGCACCTGCCGCGCGGCGGGGAACGAGCAGGGAGGGCCCGGCGCGCCCCCTGCCGGCCGCCCCGCGCGGCTTCCCTCCGGGGCCCGCTGCGGCCTGCCGGGGCGCCTGGGCCTGTCCAGATGTGGAACAAGTGGGGGCGGTGGGTATTGCGAGCGGCTGGAGGCCGCGGGAGGAGGCGCGGCGCCGGGTGAGCCTTGGCACAGCCGAGGGGGCTGCGAGTAGTCTGTGCTTGGGCCTCCGCCTTCTCCTCTGTAAAACGGGCTCAGGCGTGAGGCGGGGAGCCCCACGGCTCACCCCACGGCTCACTGCCTCCTGCCCTGCAGTGGACGGCTGCATCCACCGCGCCGCGGGACCCCTGCTCACCGACGAGTGCCGGACCCTGCAGAGCTGCGACACCGGCAAGGCCAAGATCACCGGCGGCTACCGGCTGCCGGCCAAGTGTGAGTCCCGACCCCCCCAACCCCCACTCCTGTGGGGCGCAGACAGGGCACCTTGTGTAATTGCGGGGCTAGGGGAGCAGCCCCCACAGAATTGCTGGAGGCCTCCTCAGGGGTCCCTTCTTCACCTTTAGTGCGGGGAGCCGGCCCCTCCTCGCACGCGCCGGGGCGCGGGTGGCGGGAGGGGGAATGCGTGGAGCCGGGGAGGGGAAGAGCTGAGGGGGAAGTGCCTTCCCTCACCCCCTCCGCCCCGCGTCTCAGCCGGGTCCATACAGATGTGGGGAGGCGGCCCAGCGCGGACCTGCCTGTCTCTATGGGGGAGCTCATTTGAGCTCGAGGGCACACATGGGTGGGGGACTCTCAGAACTTGGGGAGAGGGCCTGTTTCCTGTCCCCTCCAGGGCGCAGGCCGTCAGGGGGATAAAGCCTCTGACCCCTTGGGGACCCCGGCTGCTCTGACGCCGTCGCCTCCCGTAGATGTCATCCACACGGTGGGACCCATCGCCCACGGAGAGCCCAGCGCCAGCCAGGCGGCCGAGCTCCGCAGCTGCTACCTGAGCAGCCTCGATCTGCTGCTGGAGCATCGGCTCCGCTCCGCGGTGAGGGGGGCCGGGCGCCAGGCGGGGGTGGGGGCAGCCTGGAACTGGGGGAGGAAGGCGCCCCCGGAGGCGGCGGGCGGCAGGCAGGCGGAGAGTGACGCTGTCCCCAATTCCCTCTCACCTCCCGCGCCCGCCACAGGCATTCCCCTGCATCTCCACCGGCGTGTTTGGTGAGTTGGGGGCGGGGGAGCGGGGCGCGGGGTGGGCCCAGACGCAGGGGGGGCCTGGGCGGGGGGGGAAGGGGGGGGGCAGAGCCGGGGGGGGGGGGGTGGGGGGGGGGCGGGGGGGGGAGGGGGCGCCGCACCCCGGCTCCGCTGACCAGCCCTCGATGCATCCCCTCCCCTTCTCTCGGGATCGGTTTACTCCCCTGAGCCCAGGGCGGTTGGGTGCACACCGTGAGGCCCTTCTGTGAAGGGTCTATGGGCCCCTCCAGAGCAAGGCAGGTGAAAACCTGCGGTAAGACCACACAGCCAGGGTGTGGGCGGCCCCCCGCCCAGGCTAAGCAGACCCTGGCGCAGGTGGACCGACTCATCATCTGTGTGTTCCTGGAGAAGGACGAAAGCATCTACCTGCAGCGGCTCCCCCACTACTTCCCAGTGGGTGAGCACCCCCCCACCCCCGCGCCCGCGCTGGGTCGGCCCCTGCCCCTCCCCCACCCACCCCAGGGCAGGCTCTCACTGTCCTCTGCCTTCCAGCCTGACGGCACCCACCGCCCACCCTGCCCAGGACTGGTAAGCAGGGCCTGGCCCGCCATGTGGCTGCCCCCTAACCTGCCCACTAACGCACGGGCTCACCTCCCCGCCCTCGCTCACCCCCACGCAGGAAAGCCGAGAGGGCGGCCTGGGCGGCTGGGGGAAGCCCAGGGCCCACACTCCCTGACCGTTCTGCTCTACCCACAGACTCGCCTGGGCCTACTGGACCTCACTCCCAGCTCTAAGAGGTCCCCGAAGCCTGCAGCTGGGCCTGGGCCCCCAGTTCTTCCCCTCAGCCCCCCAGGAGCCTCCTAATAAAGACCACCCTTGCTGCGGCGGCTAGTCCGAGTGCTGGCTGGGGAAGGGGGCGGCAGCCCTGAGGTGCGGACAAGTGCCTTCGGCTTCAAGGGAAGGGGCTGGCGAGCGCGCTTGGTGGCTGGGCGGGCGGAGGCACGGGCCAGACGGCAGAGGTGGGCAGCAGCACGTCACATTTATTGAGGGCCTGCCCCCAAGGAGCTCACAGCCTGGGGGCCAAGACCCCACATGTGCTGGGGGAGGGGAAAGAGGTAAAGGCAAAAAAGGAAGGCAATGCAGAGACAGTGTGGCCCAAGCAAAGGGGGTGCAAAGCAGGCAGGGGGAGGGGGGGGGAGGAAGGGCAGCCTGGCAAAGCCCTGCCTAGACCTGGGGGACCATGGACGAAGCACCGGCTTGAAGGCTGCCCCTCCCCAGCCAGGTTGGTGCCACCCCAGCTCCTCCACCTGCCGAGCCAGGTCCCACAATGTCAGCCCTCTCCACCCAGGACTGGACCAGGCAGACCCCTGATGGGAGAGAGGGCAGCTCAGGTTTGGGGGCCCTGACCAGGACAGCCAGGTGGAGTCAGGGCCTAGGAGGGAGCGGCCTGCAGCCTGGGCAGTCCTAGGTCCCTGGGCAAGTCCCCCAAGGAACCTCCAAGATTCTCGTGGAAGCCCCTGGGCCAGCTAAGGAGGGAAGGGGGATGGCTGCCTGAAGGGAAGGGAGCAGGTCACCAGAAGGGGGTCCCCAAGAGGCCTAGCCCCCTCAAAACTGCTCCTGGTGGGGAGGCTTGGGTGTGGACAGGTGGAAGGCCAAGAGGAACCCACCTGGGGGGGGGGGGGGACAGCCGGACACAGCGGCCGGGCAGGCAGCAGCAGAGCAGGGACACGCAGACACGCGGCTCACCACCAGCATCCCCTTTAATAAAATGTGGAAGGTTGCGTGACGGGGAGGGGGGGGAGTGAAATATGACCATTTACAACCACAAAAAACCTCTGTACATGTCTAGCGCCTGGCAGAGGGGAGGGCAGGCAGGGCAGCGGCGGGTGGGGCCAGCCCTATTTGTAGAGGATGTCGTAGTGTCCAGGCCGATAGAGGAGGTACACCTTGGGCTCGGAGCCCTCGGGAAAGATGTGCGGGTTGGTGGTGCCGCCCTCGCCGCGGTCCATGTACTCCACCTGGATGGAGACGCTGAGGGCCTGGGCCAGCGCGATGATGTGAATGTGGTCGCTCTCCTTGCACATGGGCTCCACCTCCTGCGGCCCGGGCGCGTTGAGGGGGGGGGGGTGAGGGCCCAGAGGTCAGCGCTCCTCCCCCCACCCCGGGCGCTCCCCACCCCGAGGCAAGAGAGGAAGGGGGGGCAGCACCTGCTGACAGAACTCCTTGACCGTCCGCCCCCCCTCGATGAAGTGCTCGAAGAACTTGCTCTCCCGCTGCAGGTAGCCTGAGGTGAGCAGCCGCAGGTACACCACCAGGTAGTCCGAGGTGCTCTGGTCGTTGAAGGAGGCCAGCAGGTCAGCTACGGAGGTCTGCTTCTCCACCTGCTCGATCAGGTCCATGAACTGCCACGCACAGGGGACAGAGGGTACAGCGAAGGAGACGGGTCAGCCCCGCCGCGGCCAGGCCACCCCACCTCCACCCCGGCCGGGAGGGGGGGGGGGGGACAAGGGGGAGGGGGAGCTGGGCTCACCGTGTTGTGGAAATCCTCGATTGTGAACTCGGTAAAGCCCTGGGACACCAGGTCCTCTTTGCTCTTGGCAGACACGGCCTTAAACCTGTGAGTGGGTGGGCAAGGGAGGCGGGCATGGGCTGGCCGGGCAGTGGGGAGGCGGGCCCAGAACTGGGGAACCGGCCAACACGGGGGTGGGAGGGGGGCATCCCCAGCTCGGAACGGAACACCAGAGCAGGAGCCCCGCTGGCGTCGGGCCTTAGTTGGGGGCTGCACCCCTAGTCCCTGAGAGCCGGAGGGAGCCCTGAGGAAGCCCCGCGTGGCCCTCCTGGAACCTCCCACCACGCCCACCAGCCTCACCGCTGCAATTCCTTGCTGTCGTCCAGCAGCGCCTCCAAGTGCGAGAATCCGAAAGCTCGGTAGAAGCAGTTTCCGTCGGGCCTGGTCTTGCGGATGTATGAGTACTTTTTGTGGAGGTCCTGCAAAGAGACAGCCCCCACCCGCCCCACCCCCATGCCTGTCAACATCAGGCCAGACCAGGGTGGGCCAGGGGAACACCTCCCCTGCCCCCTACAGAGGTCATACCACAGCGGGGACAACGGAGCTCCCAGCAGCCACCTGCCATCCTTGGCCGCTGACTCCGGGGATGGGAGTCACTTTGTGACCCACTGGCCGGAGCCCCAGCAGCCTCAGGACCCTGGGACTTAGGCACACACGGGCTGCTGGGGGCACCGGTGTCCTCACCAGCCCCGGGGCATGCCAGGCTGCTGGGCCCACGGGGCTGTTTCTTCCTAAAAATGGGCAAACGGCTCCGTGCTGGTCCGACACGGCTTTTCCAGACAGCAGTCTTTCAAACCGTGTGAGTCCAGGGCAAGCAAGTCAGGATGGGGCTGCAGGGCTGGGCTGCACACGGCAATCCCCGCAGGGGACACAGCCTCCCCGGCCCCCTACACCCGGCCCTACCCACTCACAGGCCCCTGCCCCGGCCCAGCTCTGCTTCCCTCCCCACACGCAGTGCCATTTCCTCCGTCTGTCCAGCCTCCCCCACGCGTGTGCTGAGCAGGCCTCCCGCCCCTGGACTAACTCGTGCCTGCTGCATTCTCCTTAACCCCTGCCCGCCTTCCCGGTGACCTCGCTTCCTTCCTGAGGACTTTCACGGAGAACCTGAGCCCCGGCCAGCACACCCGCCGCAGCCTTCTCTCCTGCTCCCCGGAGGGGCTGAGGCTCCGCTGGGCCCCCCTCTGGTCCGCCTCAGAGCCGGTCCCCTCCCTTGGGCTCAAGGACATTGCTCCAGGAAGCCTCCCCCTCCCTCCTGCATCATCAATTTTTCTCTCCCTCCTGGTTTAGACTCATCAGCATACAAACACAAGGCTAGTTCTTGCTTAAAAAAAATCCTCTGCTTCACATGAATTCCTTTCCAGCTACCACCCGATTTCTATCCTTTATAGCAAAACTGCTCTGGCTGTCGTCTGTGCTCAGTCTCCGTTTCTCTCCCACTAACTCGACCCAAGCGGGCTTTCACTCCAGTCAAGGCCACGCCTGCCTTTCCTCAATCCAAGGGCCAAGCCCCCACTCCTCCGCGCAGCATCCACCACGAGGAGGGGGACACCTCCCACCACACGATCCCGTCCGCACCACCCGCCCCGTCCACACCGTCCTTCACACAGCATGTAGGCCCCAGCCTCGCTGTGTCCTCCCCGTCCTTTCAACCTGTGAAAGTCAGGGCCACCACCAAACCACCCGGCACCCTTCCTCAAGACACCACGTGCCACCTGCACACCACACCCCCATCCACGGCGCCTGCCATGGGAAGGGCACCACCCGGCTGAGGCCTGGGACGGCCTCCGGGGGCCAAGTGCACTCACTCCCTTACCACTGCTGCTCTGGGGATTCCGACAGCCCCAAATATAACTCTTCACCAGCCCCATCTCCACCCTCAACTCCCATTGACGCACATCCAAGTGTCTCGCCTACTTGTCCTGTCTGGGCTGCCCGGCCCGACGGGGCGAGTCCTGACCCCCACAAGCCCCCTCTTCTTCACAGCCCACCCCCGGTGCAAGTGCAAGGCGCGGCCTCTCAGCTGTTCAAGCCAAAACCTGTCACCACTGCCCGCAGCCCGACCCGCACCCTGGCCCTGCCCCAGCCAATCCAACGCAGATCCAAAGGCTTCAATCCACCAAGTCTCTTCTCCACGGCTTCTCACTACCCTTTGGCACTCCGGTCCCAGTCACTCCCTCCTCCAGGCTTCCTCCCAGGTGTCCCTGCTCCAGCAGCCAGAGGAACCAGAGAAACCTGCTAATACTCCTCCTCTGCCTGGCCACGTGTCTGTCTCCCAGCCCTCTCCTGCTCCCCCGCGCTGCTCTAGCCACAAACCCCCAGCGCACCTCACCCCGGCCTCAGCCTGCCCCACTCCACCCAACGCCCACAGACTGCTCCCCTCCTGCTTTCAGTCTGTCACTCCAACGCCACCCTCTCGGCAAGGCCTTCCACCCGCCCTCCCACTCCTTCTCCTTTCCCTGCTTTACTTTTCTCCAAAGCACTTACCGCCTTCTGACATCTACACCCCGGGTGCCTCTGCCTGATTCTCCGTCTTCCCACCAGGACACAAGCTTTGTGGGGGCAGGAGCGTGCTGACTGCACTCCTCACTCGGCCTCCGGGACCTAAAACGGTGCCTGGCCCACAGCATGTGCTCACAAATGGCCAATCGCATCACACAATGCATCCGAAGAGCCCAAACCGCTGTAGCTACCGGAAAAGCTACTAGAATCATTCCGAGCACTTACCCTGTGCCAGGCCCTTTGCGGACGGCCAGTGCCCACTACCCTAAATCCTCACAGAGGAGCAGATCACCCAAGTCTGCTTGGGCTCTGCTGTCCAGGCTTAGGATCCAGGCAGAGGTGGGCTGAGGCCAGCACAGAGCAGGGGTGTGGGGGCACTAAGGCAGACTTCCCGCACAGACAAAACACAGTGGACACTCGAACATTTGCTGAATGACTCAGCGAGAAGAACAACAGAGGCTCCAAGAAATTCAGTGTGTTGCTGAAAATCATAGCCAGAAGTGAAGCCAGAACTTGAACCCAGGTCTGTCAGGCCCCAAAGCCAGTGCCTTCAGCTCTCCACAGTCCTCTTGGGTAAATCATAAACACTCTGAGCTAGGGGTCAGAGTAGAGAACAGGCCACTGGATCTGGCCTGCAGGTGTGCTGTTTGGATCACACAACATTTCACATTTGAATTAGCTGCCTCCTGTTAGAAGTCAGGAGACTCACATCAAAATCATTATTTCTGGCTTATCTTGGAAAAACAGATCCAGAAACGATGGAGCGACAGGCACGGACACTCCTATTTGCTCCAGGGGCTTCCACTCCCTGGTGCTGGCTGAAGCAGAACTGTGGTGTCCTGTTCACCACCTAACCCGGCCACCTTCCATCACCTACCTCCCCAGCGCCTAATATGGATAACCCCAAAGACACCTCCTTTCAGGTGGAAGACTCTAAGCATCTCTGATCTTGGCGGGGGGGGGGGGGGGTAACATTTACTAAGCCCTCAGGCTGTGCCCACTGGATACTATTTACACATACCCACTGTCCCCGCTCACAAAGAGAGCGAGTGGTTAAGGGTCTCACCTCAGGCTGAGAGAGAGCCCAGACTTGCACAGGTCCGCAGGTCCCTTTGCCCCAGTGCCGCCTACTCCTCCACAAAGATCCCAGAGGCAGGCAGCAGGACCGGCCTCTCCCAGCCGCTCAGCGCCTACCCAGCCTGCACCAGTCCCCACAGGCATCATCTCCCTCAACAACTGCCCTGCGGGCAGATACATTCTTTATTCTGATTCCACAGCAGAGGACCCCACAGCTCAGAGACACTGAAGGCCTTGCAGAGGGTACGGCTGCTGTATGGCAGAGTCAGGATATGAATCAAGGTCTTTTCGATTCCCGAGTCTGCATACTTGAGAACCAGCAACCAGAGGGCTACCCCAAAATGCTACCCTCTCTGAGGCCAGGCCAGCAAGGAGTGGGTCTGAAGCAGGCACACTCCTGCCCCTACCCCCAGGGCTCTTCCTGCCCCCTCAGCCAGGCTCCCACCTTGATCTTCTGTTGATAGATGTTGTCATCCTCAGCATACTCCTTGTACAGGACCGAAAGCTCCAGCCGCTCCGAGACCAGGGGGTTCTGCACAGCAATCTGCACGGGGTTGGAAACCCATCACGCTCTGGCACGCAGATGGAGTGACCCACACCTAACAGCCAGAACACCTGAAGGCGGAGAGCTGGAGCAATCACCCAGTGGCACAGTGACACCCACCCCTCAACCCACCCCTCCCCAAGACATCCAGTACCTAGCACAGCTTGGGGAGGAGGAGGCTTCCAAAGTAGAGATAAACAATAGGCCTCAGGCCCAGGCTATGCTTCCCCACAACAGGGCCACTGGCCACAGCCCCTCACCTCTTGCTGAATTCGGTCCTGCTGAGCCATGATGGCTTCATCATAAGCAAGACAGTTAACACCTGGAAGGAAGCAAGCCAAGGATTACAGTGGGCCCTGGCTATCTCCACGCCAGGCAGCTGGGCCAATGACAAGCGCAGCCAGGACCAGGAGAGCAGGCATGGAATCTGCAAGTTTGCATTAAACACTCTGCTCTACCCCAACGGTGTGGTCTTGGCAAAGTCCTTTCCCTCCCAGGCCCTAGTTTTCTCATCTTTAAAATGAAGGGACAAAGGTGTGTCCTGCCCCAAGGTGCACTCATTCAGCTCTAACACCCCCCCCCCCCCCCCCACTTTCTAACATCAATTCCCAGCAGCCTGAGAATGCTCTGGGGCCAGGCAGGGTCTCTTGGGGAAAGCAAGATGAGGCAGAGTTCCCGGCTGAAGGAGAGCTTCCCGTAAGCCTGCACTTTACTCGATCACACCCTTCCTCCTCCTGCTGTGCTGGGTTTTCTTAATGCCCATTTTACAGATAACAAAACAAATGCAGACTGATGGAAGTAACCTGCCCACGGTCGTGACTAACGAAGGCCTGTGCTCAAACCCAGGTGTGCCCAATTCTAAAGTCTGAGCTCTTTACCACAATCTCTCTCCTCCGCCACCTCACTGCAGAGGCCTTTCCTCAGCTGTAAAACGGGGCTAATACCACCACCCTTCTCCTCCCCTCACTGCAATGTCAAGAGAAAGGCGGGGTACGTTGAAGGCATACTGTTAAGTGTTCATCAGTGGACCTGTGGACCCCACCCTCCACAGCCACTGGTGAGGAGCCAGGAGACCTGAATTCTGGTCCTTGCTCGCTCTTATGTGATCCTGAGCAAATCTCTTCTGGAGGCCTGCGACTCCCAGCATTCAGTCTCTCAAGTGTGCGGTTAGAAGGGGGTGTGTGTGCGCTAAATGACTTTTAAGGTCAATTCCTTTTGAGCCTGAGCATCCCGGATCCTCAGCTGGGCTCTGACCCATCCCTTACACTGCCCTGCACCAGAGCTGTCCCTCCCACTCAAGTGACCTACTCGGGCCCCGCGGCCTAACCACGGGTGAAAAGGGAGAGGGAGGCACCGTTTTGAAAGGTCCACCTCCAGAGGTCTAAGAAAACAATGCCCAAGCAGGAGGAAAGGGGCTGCAAAGCCAGAAGAGGGGGCTCTACCGGAAACGAGGGCTGCAGTCCTGAGGCACACAACGCGGCCGCTCACAACCCCCGGCCGCCCGCTGCATCCCGAGCGGCCCGCCCAGTCCTTTGTGCTCGGCGGCCCGGCGTAACTCGACGCCCTGCCGGGCGCAGCCTGCTCTGGAGAAGGCGGGCGGCCAGGCCCCGGTCTATAGGCCCCGGCCTGACCGCAAGGACTGGGGCGGGAGGGCTGGGGACCCGGGAGCCGGGCGGCCGGCGCGGAGGGGCTGGGCGGGGGGCGGGGCGGCCCAGGCCCCGCCCCGGGCGCGCGCGAAGGCAAGGAGCCGCGGGCCTGCGCCCGCCTCGCTCGCCCGCTCGCCCGCCGGCCCGGCCAGCCGGGGGTCGCGGCGGCGGCTCCTTCCATTGTGAGGGGGAGGGGAGGCGGCGGCGGCGGAAGAAGGGGCCGTCGGTGCGTTTCGGCCCCGGCCGCCGGCGGCCCCGCCCCTAGCCTCCTCGGGAACTGGCGACCCGGCATCGCCCCTGGTAGCCCGGGCCGAACGGTCCTCCCCGGGTCAGTACCTTCGGAGTCGCTGCCGAGCGGCTCCTGCTTCTGCTGCTGAGGTTCCTCCGCCGCCATCTTTAAACAGCACCTCACCGCCGACCGCTTCCGGGTTAGTAGTTGCCCTCCTCCCGGAAGGGAGCCCCTCCTCGTGGCCCCTCCTTGGCAACGCCCCTAGCGACGGGATCCCCTCGGGAGTCAACACCTGTGGGGCTCGCAGTCAGGTGTGGCTGCCGCCCCGCCTACCCTCCGCCCGCACTCTTGCTGGGCTCCATCTTCCCAATTCCCAAAGTTCCCGGTGATAAGAGCCTTCCGGAGCCAATTCAGATTTCTTTTCAGTGGAGTTTGAAGCGCGGATTGAGGTACTGAGATGAGTGGGAAGGTGAGGTTAAAATCACCGGAGGCAGCATTGCTGCTGCGGACCCCAGAACTCCTGGCAGTGATTGCAGTGGGGAGAACCTGGCGGTGGAGACGGAATCGTGCTAACAAGGGAGCCCCAGGACATCACCGCCCGGGTCCACGGGGCCTCGCTTCTGAGCGGACTTCGGTGTCCTGTTCCGGCGGGGAGAACATGTCCCTTACGGTCAGGGGCAAAGTCTTGGGACCTAACTTTGGACTCCGTGCCTTTCTGGTTAATTAGAAAAGCAGCCCTCCTCCCTTTTTTTTGAATTGATAAAAATGGAAAACATTAGTGGTTGCCAGAGGTTAAGTGAGGGGCCGAAGGGAAGTGGATGTGATTGTAAAAAGGATGCGGGAGGGATCCTGGTGGAAATGGAGATGTTCTCGATTTTTTTTTTAAGATTTTATTTTATTTACCAGAGACGCAGCAAGAGAGGGAACACAAGCAGGGGGAGTGGGAGAGGGAGAAGCAGGCTTCCTGCTGAGCAGGGAGCCCTATCCTGGGCTCAATCCCAGGACCCTGGGATCCTGACCTGAGCCGAAGGCAGAGGCTTAACGACTGAGCCACCCAGGCGCCCCAAGATTTTTTTTTAAGATTTTATTTTTAAGTAATCTCTGCACCCAACGTGGGGCTCAAACTCACAATCCTGAGATCCAGAGTCTCCCGTTCCACCCACTGGATTTAACCAGGCGCCACACTTTTTTTAAGGAAACTCTACCCCCAAGTGGGGATGGAACTCTCCATCCACCTGGAGATGAAGAGTTGCATGCTCTACCTACTGAGCCAGCCAAGTGCCCCTGAAATGTTCTATATCGTGACCGTGTACGAATACTCTGGTATATGCCATACTATAGTTTTGCAGGATTTACCTACCAATGGGGAAAACTGGGCAAAGGGTACACAGGATCTCTCTGTGTAACCTATTAAGATTGCCTGTGAATTATCCAAAAATAAGTTTAAAAAGCGGCAAGGCCGGAGTGCCTGGCTGGATCAGTCTGTAGAACATGCAACTCGTGATTTTGGGGTTGTGAGTTCAAGCCCCACACTGGGGACAGAGTTTACATTTAAAAAAAAAAAAAAAGGCAGCAAGCCTTAAATGCTGAAGATGTTGTTGTTTAGAGAGGTTACAGTCTGTGGCTCAGTTTCCCAGCTTCTTCATGAGGGGACAGCAGTGTTTGAGCACCTGTCGGAGGCTGTGCCTTAGTCCCAATCAGACCCCTCAGTTTGTGACAGTACAGGAGTGGAATATGATTGAATATTCTCATGAGCTACATGCAGTCCTGGGGTAGGTGCAGTTGGTGCCTGGGCTCACCACCCAGTACACAGTGGCCTTCTCACCGCAGCTCTACAGATGCCTCATCTGTATTCCAGTGACATTGCAAATTACTATTTATTGGATCACTGAGCCTTGGGGTTGCTTCTAAGCTCAAGAAAGCAAAGGGTCCACCCTGGTTGGACCCGTGCTTACCAAACTGTTCATTCCTTCTCCCAGTTTTAACACCGAAATCTGTAACTGCCGGTATCTTCTTCAGTCAGTAGAACTGGTATTCCCAAACGGAGAGCTAATATAGTTGATGACAGCAATATGATTTCTACTTGGCTTTTCAAAATCTTGAAAACTGGGGCGCCTGGGTGGCTCGGTCGTTAAGCATCTGCCTTCGGCTCAGGTCGTGATCCCAGGGTCCTGGGATCGAGTCCCACATCGGGCTCCTTGCTCCACGGGAAGCCTGCTTCTCCCTCTCCCACTCCCCCTGCTTGTGTTCCCTCTCTCTCTGTGTCTCTTTCTGTCAAGTAAATAAATAAATCTTAAAAAAAAAATCTTTAAAACTGCTATAAGACCACTCCACCTCTACTCCCCCATACTTGGACTAGGGAGTCCATGGGGCAGATAGGGGCAGGGACGATGGGGTTGGGACTAACGGTCAGGGCAGGAAAATAGCTGCTCTGACCAGTGAGGAGGAATCCCAGTTGTGACCCAGTGCTGGACCACAGGCAGGCTGCCAACACCAAGTAAATACCTCCCTCCTGGGGGTCTTGGATTTAAGAAACAGACCTCAGTGGCTCAGTCAGTTGGGCATCTACCTTTGGCTCAAGTCATGATCCCGGGGTCCTGAGATCTAGTCCCACAGGGAGCTCCCCGCTCAGCGGGGAGCCTGCTTCTCTGGGGTTCCCCCTGCTTGTGCTCTTTCTCTAATAAATGAATGGATAAAATCTTTAAAAAAAAAAAACAGACCTGTTCCTTCAATGTACAAAAGGACCTGTAAACAAGGGTCCTCTCTCCTACTTGCTCCCCAGCCCTACCCCTCTTAGGCAGAATGGGAAGGAGGGGCAACTGGCTGGCTCAGTTGGTGGAGGGTACGATTCTTGATCTCGGAGTAGAGGGTTTGAGCCCCATGTTGGGTGTAGAGATTACTTAAAAATAAAACCTTGGGGCGCCTGGGTGGCTCAGTCGTTAAGCATCTTGCCTTCGGCTCATGTCATGATCCCAGGGTCCTGGGATGGAGCCCCGCATTGGGCTCCCTGCTCAGTGGGGAGTCGGCTTCTCCCTCTGCCTCTGCCCCTCCCCCCTGCTCATGCTCTCTCTCAAAAGTAAATAAAATCTTTAAAAAAAAAGCCAAACTTTAAAATCTTAAAAAAAAAAAAGGGGGGGGGGAATGGCCAGAGGGAGGCTTTGGCTCTTAATCCCAGCCCAGGATGGCCAACTTTTGCCCTGATCTTCTGTATGCTCATTTATTTGGCAGTTAATAACTGTTCTCTTACCCTCATTCTGTCGCTTCTATTACTTTTACCATTTTAGGGTTTTGATTCTCTATTCTGAAGCATCTAAAATCCCACACGTTCGCCAGGAGTCACTGGCAGAGCTCCAGGCATTTATCTCCCAATCTGCACCCCAGAAATGGTGTAGCGCTGCTGGCTCTGACTGCGAGTCTTGCGATGAAACAGGCAGCGCTGGCGCTTGGGTTCCGACTGCTGTTGAATACAGTCAAAGGTGACAAGCAGCAGAGGACTTTATTTTCCACTGACACGACAGATGCCACCTCACAGCCCTGCAGGTGCACACCACTTCCAGGTCTGAAGGATTCTGCCACGTGGAGGGAGAAGAGGCTCCATACCAGGACTCAGACTAAAAGCTCAGCCCCAGAGAGAGTTTACGAACAGCACAGAGGCTATAAGAGAGAGCTTTCCAAAAGAAAGTCTTCAAGGTGGGCCAAAGATGAGGGCTTGGCAGTCCTTCCCGGGGCAGGCTTGGGAGTCAGGCCTCTGCCCAGGCAGGAAGAGCTGGGGCATGCCAGCCAGCCCCCGGGTGAACCTCCGAAGCTCTTGCCACAGGAACCCACAATGGTCCACAGGCAGCCTGCTCCAAAGTCATGATCTAGAGAGGCTTTGCTGGTGCAGAGGCCAGGCTGGTGAGGCTGAGCAGGGGCTGTAGTTTGAGGTGGCTGGCTGGGTTGATACTTGCCTGCAGGATCCAGCCCACCCAAGGCAGAAGGAGGGGTGCAAGCAGAGGAGGGGTGGAGACGGCGAAGGGAAAGCCCCCCACTGCCCTCCACCCAGACCCACAATGCCCTCACTCCTCACTGGGGCGCTGTCCTCCTGTAAACGCCTCACATTCCAGTTCACCTCGGTCTGCTGAGGATCCAGTCCACTGGAGCCAGCCCCTCCCCTGAGAGCCTCAGAGCCCTGGGAGAAGGATGCATTAGCTCCTTGTTGCTGCCATAACAAATCACCACCAATCTTGTGGCTTAAAACATGAATGTAGGGCACCTGGGTGGCTCAGTCGTTAAGCGTCTGCCTTCGGCTCAGGTCACGATCCCAGGGTCCTGGGATCGAGCCCCGCATCGGGCTCCCTGCTCCGCGGGAAGACTGCTTCTCCCTCTCCCACACCCCCTGCTTGCGTTCCCTCTCTCGCTGTCTCTCTCTGTCTGACAAAATAAATAAAATCTTTAAAAAAGAAAGAAAGAAATGGCCAGGCTAGGCCTCAAACCCAGGCCTCCTCTCAGTACACTTTTCTTGACATTCTAGCATCTACCATGACTGCAGCCGCCCCCAGCCCCGTGGGCACTCCTGGGTAGATACCTACGCCTTCAGACTCGGGATCTAGCAGACACCCACAACACCGGCTGATTAAATATTATTTGGGAGTACAAGGAGCCTTGTTTTCTCTGCAGGGAATGGACCCAGGGCCCCAATTTGGTTAGGGATGAGAGAGGGACACTGAAAGATGACCAAATGTCAGACCTACTGGCCACACTGAGGACCAAGGGAAGGATGGGGCTCAAGCGTGACAGGTGATTTGCACCTGATACTCTCGTCCAGGCCCACATATGCTGCAGGACCCAGCAAGTTGAGGGAGAGCAAGAGCCAGAGTTGCTGATGGGCCCACTGAGGACTTTCTCAGACCAGGCCCCTGAAGGACTTGCCCCTGACCACTGGCTTCCCACCAACCTGAGCAGTGGCTCAAGATGCACGGCTTTGGGCTGGAGTTGTCCCTCTGGGTTCCAGGGGCACAATAATGGGGGACACCCAATAAGAAGCCTTGGTGGAGCAGTTGAGTTACCATAGAAACATTCTACTGGTGTCACAATCTTGTTCCATGGCAGCTCCATGGCCGCCTCTGTGTCCACAGAAAACCTGAGCCAACCAAGAGCCAGGTAGCTCGGAGCCCTCTGCTCAGGAAGTGTGAACAGAAAAGCCGCCCAGAGT